AGGTCTGAAAGGTTTTTTTTTTCCCTTTAAAAATTTTTTTTTTTTTTTTTTTTTTTTTTCCCTTCCAAAAAAAAAAAAAAAAAAAAAAATGCAGTTAACAGAAAGTTACTTGAACCAGCCTGACCCCGTGGGAAGAAGTAATTATAGTAAAATCCAATTAAATTACAAATTAACTATGAGCAACGCACTGTTCAACGCTCGTCCATTTTATCCGCAGCCGTCTGCAGACGATTTGACCTGGAGCTGCAGCAGCTAATACCGTTTTTTCTTTTTTTTTTCTTTTGTGCGTCAGCTTCGGTGTGAAGGGTGGACAAAAAGGCAAACTGTACAGATCAAAGTAGCTGATCATTTTTAAAAATTGCCTGAGCAAAATCGCAGCCTCTTTGTTGGCAGACATAAAAGGACAGTAATTACAAATTGAGTTTAATGAGACTGTGACTCTTATTAACTCTGAAAACGCAGCGACCAGGAGCTTCGTTCAGTATTTCAAAATGCACATGCATATCCCTACAAGTGATATAGTAATTTTATGTAACATTAAGCATCATTTCCTCATTTTTTTGAGTAATTGTTTGTATTATTTATGAATGTTTTAGTAACCAGCAGTTTTCAAGCTTCTTCAGTTCAAACCGACTCATAATCGAGTCTCTCTGCGTTGCTGCAGGTGTTGGCGACGGGGCTCAGCGCCCTCTACTCCTCCCTGCCCAGGAAGATCGAGGTCCGCGGAGACGACTGGCATTCGCTGCGGCGGGAGGACTGGATGGGCGTGTCGTCTCTCGTGCTTTTCATGAACTCCTTGGAGTTCTGCAACGCCGTGGTGCAGGTGGCGCACCCCCTGGTCCGCTCTCAGCTCCTGGACTACCTCCACAACGGCTTCCTCGTCCCCGTCATGGGCCCCGCCCTGCACAAGGTTGGAAACTGAACTCTGGTTTTGTGTAATGTTTTATAAAGTCTGTCTGCTGGAGTTCGGAACATTTAGAACTTTGTTTAGCGACTCGCTGATGTTTTGAGGTGAACTGGCAGAAAACGTGGAGGTTTGGAATTTAATTTTCTTCGATTGGTGTCGATGAGTCAGAGGATGAAGCAGTAATTACTGTACACCGAAGAAACTGTCCTTTGCTAAATTCACCTCGGCGGGAAGATTCGTCACATTGTTCCTCTTTTAAACTGCGGGGTTTTTTGGGGGTTTTTTTTGCGTGTGTGTGTCCGCAGTCGTCAGTAGACGAGATGATCGCCAGCACCGCCTACCTGGATCTTTTCTTGCGCAGCGTAACGGAAACATCCCTCCTCAAAACCTTCCTGCGCTTCATCCTGCTGCATCGCCATGACAATGACACCATCCTGGACACGCTGCTCACCCGCATAAGCAGCAATTCGAGGGTCTGTATACATGTGCATCTGTTTATGAAAGAGCCTGGAGGCTTTAAAACGAACACGGTTGTGTGGGCGCTGAGTGGGCTGAGGGCAAAATCCGACAGCAGAAAAGCGAAGCTTCTGGGCTATGAGAACAACAAAAAGAAAGAAAACTAAATCTCTTCGTGTCTGCTGCAACAACCTACTTTTGTGTTGGATGTTGTTTGTATTCAGAAATGTATCTCGGTTGAAAAGCTCGCACCGACTCACAGATTCTGGGCTAGAAAAGAAACATTTAGATCAATGGGCTGTTTGGGAAAATATTAGTGGGATTTCATCATCCTGCATGAGCGTCAGAGTTATCTACTTAGAAGCTAAAGCAGGTCTGGCGTCTACAGAGGCCAATGTCGGATACATTATTAACTTTATTTTAAGGTTTTCAGTTATAATTTTTTAAAACTTCTCTGCTGTAAGATAAAAAAAGAGTAGATCTCCTGTGTATGACTGCTCATCAGGCTCTTTATGGTTGCAGCTCTGCATGGTCTCATTGAGTCTGTTCAGGACTCTCCTGTCCCTGCATTGTGAGGACATCATGCTGCAGCTTGTTCTCAGGTATTTCCCAGAGTTTTCTCGAGCATTGACACTGTGGGTGAATTCTCTCTTTTATATAAATTTTTTTATGATTCAGAAATCAAAGATGGTGTTTTAAATTATTTCAGAAATTCAGTCCAGGTTCAACTTCTCTAGGTATTGTGCTTTTCTAGCAGAGAACTTTTTTTGTGTGTTATCTAATGAAAGAGTAAAAGCTGCATGCATAAGAAATGTGTTTTACTAAAACCTGGTGTCAGCAACATAAATTTTGAACTTTAGATGATAAAATGCAGTGAAAAAATATAGGGAACTAGCCCTTTAGTTTTCCACCAAATCAGCAGGTGCGAGTCACATGCTAACTTCAGTGCTGTGTCTGCAGCTTAAAACGGAATAAAGATTTAAGAAATCATATGAGCAGTGTGAAATTATTCAGTTCAGCGCAGAAATGTTTCCTCAGTGCTTACAGAGCATCTTCCTCTTGTCTGTAACCAGCCTGTGTTATCATGAATAAAATGGTTGATAGGGCCTTGGAAAGTGTAGTTATAAATATACATATGCATATTTTTATAAGAACAAGAAATGGAGGCGCTGAAAGTACATACAGTACTTTGGAAAAGCATCCACACCCCTTACAGTTTTCTTGGTTTTCTTTTCATGTTACGATCACAAACTTTAATGTTTTTCAACACAAAGTAGCAGAGATTTACAATAACTTGTCTGGAACTTTTCCACAACTTTATTCCTGACCTGTGTGCTTTGTTCTGGTTTTATCGTGCTGTTCGTTTAACAATCTCTAACAGTTAGTTGACTTAGGGAAAGGAACTGGTTGCAGTGGATTTTTATTTGTGTCAGAGTAAAGTTTGAGACTACAAATGCATGTCGCATTTTCAGATTTTTATGTGTAAAAACTCCAGAAAACCATTATTCCTTTTTATTTTGCTTCACAATTAGGAGCTCTCGTTACAAAAATATGTCAAAATATAATAAAAACATTCAGGGGGTGTTTATGTAATTTGGAAGGCATTGTGTATTTTCAGTGTGTCGACTAAGAACTAAGCATAATAAAAATAAATTAAAAAAACGTATTAAAACTCCATGTGTCTGTTTTTCTCCCAGGTATCTTCTGCCCTGCACCCATGTAATGCTGAGTCAGCGTCGTGCCATCAGGGAGACGGACATGTACGGAAAGTCGGCGAACAAGTTCCTGTCGCTGATCCCGGAGTGCTGTCGACTGAACGCATCGAGCTCCACCGATCGCGACGACGACAATCCGTTCTGGGGCAAAGGTGAGCGACAAACATCTGGGGGGGGAAAGGAAAGAGGAAAACGATTTGGGTCTGTTTCACCTGGACTGATTAAGTTGCAGTTTAATAAAGTGTTTGTAACCTTGACAGAGTGAATTGGTCTGTAAGGGTTGGTTTAAAGGTTAAGATTCTGAATGAATTCAAGACAAATGCATAGCCTTGAATTCATAAAAAATATGTAAGGCTTAAATACGTTAATCACAGGTCTTGTATTTTGTTGTGACAGGTCTATTTAAACTCATATTTTATATATCGTGTAGAGTGTTATTTTTTCTTGTCAGGCAAACGGACATCTTTGTTGTATTCTGTGACTCAAGGAGGATGAGGCTACTGTTAACTAGCTGCTAATCTTGGTAGCTCCTTTGTGTTTATCATTGGTACAGTGTAAATATTTCGCCAGTTGCCTTGATGACGTTCATCTTTGCCACTTACTCATTCTGTTTCCAACTTATGCAAATCTACGTACAAAACCTTTTGGCAATGATGCAGGTCTTAAGTTTCATTCATAATGTAAAGGGTTAAAAAGGTCTTAAATTTGACCTGCAGATTCGCTGTTAGTGACTGATTTATGTCATGAAACATCAGGAACAAAATAGAAAAAAAATTAGCCTTTACACCCAAACTGCCATCAGATCTTTTCACGTTGGGGTTTCTTTTCTTTTACGGATAATATTTCAAAATTTATGTGAATGTTTTTGGGGTTTCCTGTGTCATCCACAGTCATGAACAATCCAAGCACTGAAGCTCCAGCTCCACCCAGACCCAGCACCCCGTCCCGCTTGTCGTTCTTCATGCGGCAGCAGAGCAGCGGCGGCGGATCGGGAGGAGGGGGCTCATCTAACTCCCCCGCCGTGGACCCGCTGCACCCGGGTCCGTCCGGCTCCCACGCTCTGTCCCCGGACAGTCCCATGCACCAGCAGCAGACCCACACAGAGTGTCTGGAGTGGGACGCGGGGTACCTGGAGTACCTCAAGGACGCGCGTCGGGGAATCGAGCATTGCGCCTGGTCCTGCCGTGATTGGTCCGCGCCTTACGATGGAGAAAACCCTTCGCCGAGCGCGGCCGCTCCGCCTCCCCCCACCTCCAACGCCTCCTTGGCCATGTTCCCGGAGCATTTCTCCTTCCAGCACGGAGGAAGCGGCGGCACTCCTCCAGGCCAGCAGAGGGCCGCCGTTGTGGCGGCGGCGCGGTCGGAGTGGAGCAGTTCGGACCGGGACAGCGGTGAGTGGGACGTCACGATAGGCAAAAACAACTGCATCAGTCTCACGCCCCGCTCCAAGAAGCGCACGCTTCAAACGGAGGAACTGCTCCCCAAACCGGTGCCGCCGCTCGTCCCCTCTCCGTCTGCTGCCTCCGCTCTGTCGGCTTCACACTCCACCTCCTCCCCAAGTCAGCACATTTCCACGTCCACCATCACTGTGAGCTACCAGCCGATGTACAACGGGACAATCGCGCAGGCGGACGGCTGTTCAGACAGCCGGGATAGAGGCCTAGAAGTGAAAAAAGTCAAAAGAGACTTGGGGGAGCAGCAGTTCTTGGACGAGAACGCCAACCAGAACGGATCTCCCATCTCTTACCCCTCCCACAGCCACGCCGCCGTCCCCCAGTCGCTTTTCAGCAACAGGAACAGCAGCGACGTGAAACCTCTACAGTTTCCTGCCCCCGACACCAAACCGCTGACCAACTCAGGCCCGCACAGCATATCCTCAGATCTTCCAGAAGCCAACCAACAGTCGCAACAATCCGTGGAGCGGCTCATCGAAGAACTGCTGGAGCAGGCGCCGGACGACCCCCAGCAGCTCCCCGGAGACGCCAACGGTCAGGGCATCAGCATCGAGGCCTTCACCCAGGAGCTGCGGGAGCTGGAGGACCGGGTGAAGGAGCGAAGCCAAGCCGCCTCCCTGCAGCCTGACGCCGCCGCAGAATCGCTGTCCGCCGAGCAGCAGGAGGACGAACAGCTTTCCACCGCCCTGAACGCGAAACTGACTGGGGACGTCAAAGGGGAGGCGTCCGAGGTGGGAGTCTGCAGTCCTGCCAGACCGCTTACCCAGCCTGCCTCGCAGCCATACACTGGTAAGTTATTCTGTGACAAGTAAAGCACTTTAGTTGTATTTTTATAACTTCAGTCTGAGCAGATTTTAGGCTGGAAAACACTTTAGCCGTCTGTCTTCATCACCAAATAAGGTTTTCCCCTTCTACTAACATCGCTTCCCACTTGGTGTAGTTTATCTTCCTTCATCTGTGTCCACTTTCTGAATATGGTTTGTTTAATTATGTTCTTTATCAATGATCTTACAGTAGAAAAAGATAGAAACAAACCAAAGTAGCATTTAGGAGGCATTTATAGTTCCTTGCAAAATATTCGTTCTCCTTTGTCCCAGTATGACAACAATAACTAAGATTTTATGAGACTAACAAACTCAAAGTTATGCAAAAATGATCAGTATTTCATAACTGTGGGTAGAGGGCAGAACATGCTGTTAAACTGAGAGTTTGTCTTTTGCTTTTCTTCCCAGATCTGAATTAACAGATGCAAACAAATGCCACGATTTTATGTGTGAACTTTTTTGTGTTGGTCTACAGAATTAAATACCAATAAGACAGTAAAACCTGAGGTATTACTGTGACAAAAAGAGAAAAAGTAAAGGTGCTGAATAGTTTTGCAAGCCTCTGTAGCAAATCTGTGAGCTGCAGACACCAGCATGACTCACCTTCAAATAAAAGCTTTTCCTCATTTCAACAATAATGAGAACTGAATAAGTATCATTGTCACAACAGGTTTAGTTAACCGTCCATTAAGCGATGTTCATGGTGCATTGTTAAATAAGAGCTATTCTCCTTGGTTTCTGTTATACTTGTTAGCAAGCTACATCTAAAGCATGTTTTTCTTAGTTTGTCAATCAGTGTTTGTTCTTTCTTTGGAATATAAGCCAATAATTATCCATTCAAAAGTCATCAGTGGCAAATATGTTTCCATCCAAATATAATGCAAATATTTTGAGATCTCTAAAAATGTCGTAAAATTAAAAAAAATAATAATAAATGGCTTAATAGGAAAAAAAAAAAAAAAACACTGGTTCCAAACAATCTACTGGTTTGGAACCAGGCTGCAGATGTTGACGCTACACATGGCTGTAATAAACAAGATGTAGAAGAGACAAACCATTTCCAAGCAGCTCGAGGTTTGGACTTTTTACAATTTTTTCTGAGTTTTGTGCCTCTTGTAAGTCACAGAGACTCGCCAGTGGATGGGAAAAGTTCCCTCTGTGAGAAATGATTTGCCAAATGAGTTTCCATCTACCCATAAGCACACTAACTGTTTTTCTAAAAAAAAAAAAAAAAAAAAAAGCAAAAATCACCTCAGGCAAGAAAAAATCTTTTTTTTT